TCCATTGGCTTTTCTATAACAACGGGATCATGTCGTTACATATAATTGATGCACAACATCAAGGATGAAGAGTATCCATGATAGAGTTGTCAAATAATTAAAAATGTCCCAAATAAGCATTCATCTTCTTGACATTGTGGCCATTATTAATGCCACTTAATCCTTCATGAGACATGTTCTTTTATGATCATCAAATGTTGTATCCAATAAATGTCCATTCACATCATTCTTAATTACAATCAATTTTCTTGTGCCTCAACTTTATGAACAATATATACCTAGCCAAATTTGCATGTCCTTTTCATTATATTTCCTAACATCGGGAGCAAAGCTATTTGGTGTAAAATTTAGAGGTGTTAAAGATGATTATCTAACTTTCAATTTATTGCATTAAAGTCATAAAATTAATTTTCGAAACGAAAAGCTCTTCTTTATCACATGTAATGATATGATGATTTCCTTTCTTAGATATTAGCAAGGGGAGTCATGAATATCTAAATACTTTTATGTCTCAACTAAATTTCAAAATTGAGAAGATTTTCCTTCTTCTTATTCCATGTTGTGTTTTATGTTTATCTAATTTTATTTGAACTCGTATGAAATAATATGATTCTTTGTTTTATTTTATTTGTGTTTCAAATGAACTTATTAGCATATATATGCATGTGTTTGTATAACTGTTTGAGACTTGTTAACATGATAAAGATTGAAATCCAAGGACTTGGTAGTGCTTTGGAACATATGAAATAATACTAAAGAAACAACTTTTTGTTGCTCTTTACAAGTAACTTTTCTTTCTAACAACTTAAACTCAAGACATTTAATTAAGGATGAAAAGATTTCCTCTAAAATTAATGTCATTCTATAATTTTCATCTTTTATTTCGTTCTATTTTAAAATTTTAAAATAATTTCTTTACTATTTTAAACTTGAAAAATATTAATATACAAAGAAAAAAAAAGTGTATTAAAAGCATTAAAAAATTTCATATATTTATATCGAAAATTATAACAGAATACATACTTGTAGCTCAACTAAAACACACTAAATAGAACATGAAAGAAAACATATCCCAAAATTCTAAAATGATATCAATTTAAAGTTTCATCATCATTGGTTCACATATAATTGATAATAACTTGGGGTGATATTCCCTTACGAAGTGCTAGGTGCATTTTTCAAAGAAAAAGCCTAATTTTTCAACTTCTCTAAAGGATAATTCATAGTAGAGACGGTGGTCCTTAACCATGATGCTTCAAATGTTGTTATTTCATCTGCATTTAATTGGTCAATCGATTTCCACTTACTTCTTTGACCATTTTCTTCCATTTGACTAAGCTGAATTAGTGTTTGAGCACATTCAATTTCTTCTATGTGCTCAAGTCTTTTCTCCATAGCAACTAGGTGATTGTTGAGTTGATTCACCTTATTTCGTGGTTGATCTGCATCTAGGCGAGTGTTTTCACTTAATTGTGAATTTGGGGATTTTTTATTTTCCTCTAGTCTTCTTGCTCTCCATCACTAAAATTATAAGAAATGAGAATAAGAAAAAATATCAAGAATTAATATGTTTCTCGAAGAAATGACACTTATGAGAACTAGAATACTGTGACATTATTTATATACATCAAGAATAAACTTACCAAATTCTATAATTGCAAGTAGGTAGAGAAATATATTATTTTAAGCTAAAAAAGGAAAATATTTTATTTAACATATTTAATAAAGTACCAATTGTGGCTAGATAGTGTGTGGATATAGTTTGAAGAAAGACCAACTATGCATCCAGATCTTTAAAATTTTGCAGTTAAAATAAAAAAATTGACTTGCATTATAAAACACAAATCGTGTAATTGCAAGTAGTTACAGAAATCTAACATTTTAATTTAAAATAGTAATTATTTAAATATATTATTATTAATTGTGATTAGATAGTGTAAATATAGTTTGAAAAACACCAACTAAGTATATGTTTCTTTTAAATTTCAAAGTCAAAATCAAATTGTTGACTTCCACTAACCATAAATAAATGTTTTAATGAATTAAAACGATGAGAATTCAAGCTTTCTACATGCATTAATATTAATCAAATGTAAAATTTAAATTTTAATTGAAAATTTCTTGATATTCTAATACTAAAATAAGTCGAAACTAATTAAAAGATTACCACATTGAGAAGAAACCTTATAAGTACATTAACTACAATGAGTATTTGAAGTTAACTTGAAATAAACAAATATTTAATGTAGTTACGCTATAACAAAAATAATTTTTAGCGGCAATAAATATGCAAATTAACAAAGAGTATTAAATTATTTACCAATTTTACTTAATTGTCATTAGAATCAATATCGTTATAAGCTTTAGAGACATTTAGAAAAAGGGTTAATTGCCACTAAAAAACATATTTAAGGACAATTAAGCTATTACCGTTAAAAATCATTTTAATGTAGTGTTACTAATTTTACTAAGCACTACTTTGAAATGCAATATTTACGTATTTCATCAATAAAACATTAAACAGATTATCAAAGGTAAATAACGATCGTCTCCGCTATTTTTTTGGTCATAATCGTCTAAAATACTAAATAAAAGATTATGCTACTATTTTTTATGATATCCGAGAATTTTTTGGGCTGGGAATCAAGGAGAAAATGTCTTGGTAAAGTTTCAGTTATGAATATATTGTCGACCATACTTATAAACGGGAGACTACATAAGCAACGTTAGAAAAAATCCTTACTTCTTTCGAGTCGAGAGTCTACGCAGAAACAACTTCAATAGGGGTATAATTTACGTTCGATCCAACTTTCCCCAGACTTCATTTGTATAATTACAATAGGTAAGACTCCACTTGTATAATTACAATAGGTATATTGTTATTTGATAGTTATACATCTGCAATAACGTTTGACATTTAAATCTTATTTGATTGTTATGCATAAAAATTGTTCAAAGAATCTCAATAGATATTCATCTTTCATTAATTAAACATTAAAAATAGCTAATACATTATTAATGAATCCATAACTAGTAAGGGAAATAATATTTTGTCTCTCTTGCCAATGTACTTTTATTAGAACTCATGATCACAGCCAAAAATTATAAGCTTTCTATATCAAAAAATGACAGTTGAATATTTGAGATTATATACAGGGCAAAATGGATGCAGAAATCACAACTTCACCTCTAAATGATACAGATAATGCAATTATTTACACCTATAATCACCCATTAGGGCGTCACGTTCCAAGAACAACGCCTCAATCCCAGCAAGTTGGAGTCAGCTATAAAAATCCACACTGTCCATTTCGCTCAATTTAAGCTCGTCTCAATCCAATGTTTTATAAATTAACAGGATTGCCCCTATACAAAGCTATTATTACCACACCAATCCCTTCCGTCTCCTAAACCTGTCAACACAACCTGTGCTCATCCGAGATTTCTCAGGTTTGTTCGACTTCTTTGCCTTATCAAGTCGACTATCCAAACTATTTCTTGAAATTTCTGGAAGGTCAGAATGCAGATTGAGTGTGTTTGAGGAGACACTTTCAGCTGGCTTCTTAGTGTCAGAGACTAAAGATGGTTTATGAGAACCATTTGTAGCAGTCTTTGATTTGCCAAGACCAAGAACAAACTTTTTTAGATGCTTGATGTAAACCGGGTAAAGTTCAAGATTGCAATGCCCGCCTCCATTTATCCATAATGGTTCATACTTCTCCTTGCACAGTTCATAGAGCTGTTTTCCGTGGGAGCAATCAACAACTTCATCCGCTGTTCCCTAAACATGGAAATGTTAATAATTGAGTAAAATGTTAAGAGGTAATAACTTGTACACTCAAAATTGTCTCATTCAGATGATTATTGGCTGTTATCAGGTCACTGATTAAAATGGCCACATGAAATTTAGTTTCTATCTTTGCTAAGAAAGAACATAACACCGAGATTACAAGTGTATTTAACATTCTGCAGAAGTGTTTCATTAGCTCAATGGTTTGCTAGAAAAGAAAATTGTTCCACTTGCTGCAGAAAGAAAAGTCAATTCATTCAATGTTTACATAATTCAAGAATCCATTGGATGGTCTAAGGGAAAATATAAAGTTACCCCTTGAACTTGTTCAGAAAATCATTACAAACTTCAACTTTACTAGCGCTCTATTCCCCTATTCTTCATCAAAGTGGAAGTAATACCCTTAGAGATGACGTGTCAGAGGAAGTGCTCACCTTTGAAATGGACGTGAAACAAAAGAAAATGTTAAAAAGTGTGCTAACCTGTACCATTGCCATTTTCTAATGGGATATTATCCAACTAATTACACTTAAGTTGAAAAAGCTTTTGCTCTTATTCTTTTACCATTTTGCACTGTACTTGTTTCTCCTTTCATATCAGTAGTAGTAGCATTACTCTTATAGTTTCTTATCCCACACTTCTTTTTCCTACCTGTTCTTTCTTGTGCTCCGGTTATTGCATTATTTAGTTGTTACTATTCTTGTTTTTTGAATGCTATGTAATGCTTTCCATATTATTTGTTATGTCCTCTTTACTTCTGTATTTCTGATCTTAAACTGCTTTGACATGCGTTACTTGAGCTGAGGATCCTTCGAAAACAATATCTCTACATCCACGAGGTAGGGGGTAAGGTCTCCGTACAGTCTACTCTACCCTTCCCAGACCCCACAATGAGGGATTACACTAGGTTTGTTGTTGTTATTCTTTTTCCATTCTCTTGCTCCTTTTTTCTCTCTCTCGTTGTTGCTTTCTTCATTCCCACTAGAACCTCCACCATCCTCCAACACCATTTCTTCCGTGACCTCCACCAACACCAGAGAAGACCTCTTTCCCAGTTTTCCATCTCCACCGGCACCATGGCCATCCCCGTTCCTAAACACGAAACCTATATACAACCACACTTCAAAAATAATTCTCTCAAATCTCCACCTTATCCCCTCATATAATATGCCAGAGACCACCAATCCCACCTACACCTCCTCAAAACCAGCCAACTTCACCTCTTTGGTCTAAAGTTCCAGAATACATCACATGTCATTCACAAAAAAATTAAAAAAGGCAGAGACAACCATAATAATCAACACTCAGAAACCGCCTTCATTTCTCAGCCTCATCATATTTACAGTACAATAAGATTATATGTGGTCGAAAAAATTCCAGTGAAGTTCTCCTCCTTTCAGTTCTATTTTTAACTTCTGGAGAGGGGTCTCTAGGAAAATGATGGCTGAATGGAGAAGATTCTTAGATGGAGAAGGGTGGAGATAATAAAAGGATGCCCAAGATTTTTTTCCCTGCCAAAGCTCGCTGGTGGTTCTTCGCTTGAACCCAAATTTGAAATTTAGCATTGGGTTTGAGAAAGGAAAATGGAAAACCCGTCTCTGAACGATCATTTCTTTTGGAATGGAGGATGAAGTGATAGGATGTGGGAAAGGAAGAAGATGGAACAGGAAGATTTTTTGAAAGAATGAGCATTTTAAAGCTTTCCGGATGTGGAACGCTACTTCACCTGTCCATCACACAACATGTAACTGGTTTTGGGTGTGACAGGGAGGTGGTAGTAGTTCCACTGTGACTAAGAATGGAGGGGTAAGGAGACACCCGTAAAGTTGGAGTATGTAAATGGATTTTCTGGACAAGTTCAGGGCATAACTTGCGTATTTTCGTAATGTTTGGTCACTCTGCATTATAGAGACATCATCAGAGCTAGCTGAATTCTGAAAAAAATCATTTCCTCTGGGATCTTCTTAACCAAATTCAGATCGAACTATTTTTCATAATATTTATACCTGGAAGAAATGAAAATAAGTATGACTTACCTAGAAAGTTAATCTAAACTTCCAGTGGCATGGAAAATATCAGTTGAAAAAAAGGAAACCCATGATCCATCAAATAGCAAGTCTCTAGAGAAGAAACTACAAGCATGGTCAAACAAGTAAAATGGTAGTCCCCGTACCTTCTCCTCCCCACATCCTACAAGGACTTCATACCGACTAAGGTTGAGACTAATTGAGGGCTCCGAGAGAAGGGGAGGAAGGAAAGTAAATTAGGGAATGGAAGAATTAAAAAGTTGAAAAGATGACAACTCACATGGATGACTAGAACAGGACAATTCACCAAGCTAATCTTTTCGACATTCTGAAATAAATTGGACAAAAAACATCAGTTTGTATAAGTGAAAATAGGGAGAGAAAAAATAATCAAACTATAACCAGTTAAGAGTGTAAATTACCTTATAAATGTCAAACCAATGTGTGTGTTTGAGAGGGTACAACACTCTTAGACCAGACAATATTGGACCATGTAAAACAACAGCTCTTAAATTGGGTGTGTGTGATGCAAGATCAACGGTTGGACCACTGCCAACAGATTGACCATACAGTATTAGCTGTTCATCTTTGACCTCGTACTGTTCCTTTAGGCATTTATATACTGCATCAATGTCCGCGTACGTATTACACTCAGATGTCTGGTTCAGAGAAGGATAGTTTTCATATTATGAGTAACAGCTGACAGCAATAAGGAGAATAAACCCATAAGACAACCTAAATACTGTCACAAAACATTCTCAGAAATAAAAGTTTTTCCGTTGATACTAGATATCGATTTTCGTATTTTTTATAAGGTCCTTAGATATTAATTCAAGACTCCAAAAAACAAGTCATTTACGATATTAAGACAGAAAAAGACAGAGAAATAAAGAAAGAGCCCAAACAACATCCTAATCACACTTTTAAATGCACAAACCAAATAGCTAGAGCTAGTGTATAAGGGAAGCAACAAAATGAAAAATAAAAAGACAATTTATGGGTAGATCCAAGAAAATGTTTTCTGGACATCCAATAACAACAACATATCCAATGTAATCCCACAAATTGGGTCTGGGGAGGGTAGGATGTATGCAAGCCTTACCCCTACCTTTGTGACGGTAGGGAGGTGTTGTTTCCCATAGACCCCCGGCTCAAAAGAGAAAATATCGAAGTACGGATGCAAGAAAATAATTTTCTGGACATCCATGATTTATTGACGTTAGCTCTTCCAGCAGTACTGGAAAGGCTAATCATAAGGCTATCACCTTAAGATGGTACTCTGTATTAACATACACCTAATAATATACTTACTGAACAATAACATATCAACTAAATAGTCTTTAGCTACCTTTCTCAAGAAAAACATATCAACTAAATTGTCATACATTATAAGAAATCAAGAGGTGATTACCCATTTTTGCAACATAAAACATACTATAGAGGCTCAACAACTCACACAAGAGACACAAAAACCAAAGAAGAAGGATCTCCTTGGCATATTTTATTCATGAACTTCACTTCAGTATTTCAAAATGAATTATTCAAGCTTATGCTAGTTGCATACAGGCAATTACACACAACTTCTTAAAATCGGTTACTGTTCTTGCTTAAAGGGAGGTTAATGGCTTAAGAAATCCTCACGATATTGGTTACTTAGAGCTAGGATATGTCTTCCTTATGAGAAGGGGAAATCAACCATTTTCATAAAACACAAAGTATCGCTAAAAATGCCAAGCTGCATTTGGCAGGGTCCTAGAGAATTCACTGGACCTAGAACAGAAGCTTGCTAAGTTATAAAAGGTGCTTTCAGCTTATGGTTACCATGCCAACAGAGAATCTAAGCTCATGGTTCAATGACATCTAATGTGGTTGCTCAAAACTAGTAGATGATAGAACGCTTGTGTAGAAAACATTGCTAATTTATACTTCTCACCAAAGCATTTTGTCTTATAAGATGGGAAATTCCCCTAGACTTGGATTTATAAGGCGGGTGAATGTTTTCCAGAAGGTTGCCTTTGTTGATTTACCCCTCCCCTCCACTTCCCCCAATCGAAATTAAAAAGGATAAAGCCACCATAGACATCATCATTTAAACAGACTTTCTGCTGTTATCAACCATGTAATACCATTTATGGTTATAGATATCTAACCTTTCCAGTCGACTGTCCATATCCAGAGTAATCATACCTAAAGAAGCACACGTGAGTAAGTCAGTGAAGTATAAGAAACCAAGGAAAATAGCAATCCTACTGTCTAGTTTGACAAATTTCTATACCAAAACTGAGAAGAAAGAAAAGAAGGATTTAGGCATAAAATTATGTGAAAATAAATGATTTGCATATTCATTAGACCTGCGGGACACTTCAATAAAAGTATGCTATAGAAAAAATATAATGCAGCACAGTCTTAAGCTACAACAAAAGAAAAACATTATCTTTATTCGTGTTCTCCCTCTACCAAACAAAAGAATTCTACTAAAGCAATTTTTAAATAAACTCCACCAACAGTAGTGTTACGAACTTCATAATCCAGCTCCTTGTAATAAAATATTCTCAGTTATTAATCTAAGTCCTTGATGAGTTTTATATGATATCCATTCCTTCCTTACAGTATGACTCTTGAAGGAAGATCCAAATTCATAGCAAAAGGGGAAAACTCGTATAGAAGAGCTTACAAAGGAAACATATATATGGATTTCCTTGCCAAGATACTTATCCTTTATAAATACAGGTAGGATATTGTATGTGCATCAAGTAAAGAAAAAAATATAGCACTATCAGTTGCTGCTATATAATTCTCCTATGCGTTCTTTCAAAGGCTCTTCTGTGGCATTCCCTCCATGTAGTCGACATAAGTGTTTGTGGAGTCCCCCAGAATTTTTTTTGAATATGCGTTGCATGAAAAGGCAGAAACATAATTCATGCATGTAAATGTTTTTCGATCATAAGAAGACTCTGAGGTGAACTCCTGCTGTTCCATTTTAAGTAAGGTTGCTCACTCGTAAAAGTCAAACTAAAATCTTTCAAATCACTATAACAGTGTGTGGTCATATCTTTAAAATCTAAAAGTTAGGATAAGAAAATTACATTTTACTAATGTGCCTTATTTATGCTCCATTAACTATTTAGGCTTAAATAGATAAGTCTTCATTATATGAATTCTATGGAAAGATTTCGTTATTCTTTGCTATGTCTGCTTTGCTTTTGTATGTTATTTTTTAAAATTGTTTTGTTATGAGTTACTTGAGCTGACTGTCTTTCAGAAAGAGTCTCTACCTCTTGAGATAGATGTAAGGTCCGTACATCCTACAATCCCCAAACCCACCTGATGGGATTAAACTGGATATGTTGCTATTGTTTTCAAAACAATATATTTCCTCTAAAAATGCCATAGCACACACTCAGGAGCAAGGGTTTAAATCAGATGACAAAAAGAGAAACAAAGATGAAAGCAAAATTGCATAATTTTGTTATAAGCAGTTCTACAGAGTAATGAGAATTTTACCCCATGAGATTGACCCGAAGACGGAGGCTTAACTCAACAAATAATTCGAACATTTGCCCCAAATCAGCAGCATTTCCATGAGAGTAAAGCATAGAGGCGGATGCCTTTGGATGCTTCACGTATACTGCGACGATTTCGTTTCCCCGGTGAGTCCGGAGCTTCAAAACGTCGACGTTTTCCCTCCGAGGTATCTCAGGTATGCATAATTTACCGCCACATGACTTGTCAGAAACAACCGTGTACGACGGAGGATTCGGTGGGAAAAAAGCGAATTTAGCGGCGATGGATGACGTCACACCGCCCATATTAATAACATATGATTCATAAATGGAAGTGTCCTTTTTCCTTCTGACGACGGTAACTTTATGAGTGGTGGCGGTGAGAGATGATGTGGTGGTGAACGGCGGCGCGTGAATGGGAAAGAGGAGCCGCGTTTAGAGAAAAGAAATGTTGATCCTTGGAATTTCATATTTCTGTTAATACTCTCTTTGGATGGTTGTTACTATCTTTCCAAAATAGTGTATGAAGTATTTTTCTCAGTTTTGTTTTAGTTGATCACTTTCTTTTATATACACATATTAAAAATTATAGATAAAAAAATAATTTTATTAATTCATTCATTTAACAAAATTTCTTGAAAATTTACAAACAAATATGAACATTTTTAAAAAGAATTAATTGCAACGGTAATATGGAAAAAAAATATTAATATTTTCTTAATTTAGTAAGGTTAATCAACTAATATGAGACAAGTAGTTTTATTAAGATGATCAACTAATATGGGACAAAGGAAGTAATTTATAATACTTTTTGTATAATTTTGGAATATCTGAATTTTAATTTTAAAAAATTAACTAAATTGATCAAATTGACTCTCGAAAAATAAAACGTGATTTGAAACAAAGGAAGTATTATATTATATTGTGTTGTGTATCATATTATATTTTTTTAATGAATATAACACTATACATACTAGGACACGACTTCCGATCTTGACTTAGACACGACCTCGACCCAGATCGGGATCGTGAGTCAATTCCCAGGTCAAAGTAGAGCCAAGGGAGTTGGGTTTGGGATTTTGAGTTGGCTTTGGGCTTGGGGGGCGAATCTAGGGTCAGGAGTCGAATCTTGGATTGAGGTCGAGAGTCAGGTCTTGAGTTGGGTCCCGAGTTAAGATTGGGTTCTAGGTTGGGTTCACGAGTTAAGTTCAAGAGTCAGGTTCGGGGTTGAGAGTTGAGTCCCTGGTCGTGATTGAAAAATGGGTCTTAGGTTAAGTGGGGAGTGGAGTCTTAGGTGTCATAGTATTTTCCTAATGATGCATAAATGCTCACTGGACAATATTTTCTACTTATTAACCAAACACCAAAAATGAAGTAACAAAACCACTTATTTTTGCTTGAAATTATTTTTTTGAAAAATAAGTGATTTTCTTACTTAGCTTTTTGTGTTTGGTTAGTAAGATTTTTTTTTATTATTCTAAGAGAATTTATGTATAATATGGACAAATACTATTATAGCGAACGTAGATTCCCACACTTTAACACAAACCTGGACCCTTGTCTCGACCAGAAACCCCATATAAACCTAACATTAACTCTAGACACAACTTTGACCCAACCTTGATTTGGGACTAGACCTCTAAACTTGACCCCGACCTAAAACTTGATCCTCAATCTAACCTTAGCCTAACACTAACTTAGGACCCAACAACCAACCTAATCACAATCCCCGACATGATGTTGACTTGTGTCCTAACCCCGTTCTTGATCCCAAATGAACATCGAAGACCTGACATTAAGTTACAACTAGACCTTGACCTCGAATAGGTGTCAAAATAGGTCAAATTTTAAGTGGGGGTTGGGGTTGAGATTAGGAGTCAGTGTCGGATCTCTAGTCGAGATTGTAAGCTTATCTCAAATTAGGGTTGGGTCCTAGGTCGGGGTCAACTCCCCAAGACAGGGTTATGGTCATCAAATCCCAGTTTAGAGTTGGGTTTGAGGTTGAGGTTGGATCTTAGGCTAAGGTTTTGGTTGGAGTAAGGTCTAGATAGAGGTCGCGACCAAATTTGGGGTTAGGATCGAGTCTTGGGTCGGGGTTAAGAGTTGGTTCCTAGTTAGAAGTTAGATCCTAAGTCGGGTCGAGATTTAGAGTCAGGTCTCCGATAATTGAGTTTCGGGAGTCGAGTTTAGGATCGAGGCTGAGAGTCTAGTCCTGATAAGGAGTTCAATCTTATGTCGGGATTGAGGTCGGGGTTCTAGTCCCTAGTAAGGGTTAGGAGTCAGGTCACGGGTTGGGAGTCTAGTCTCGAGTTGGGATCAGAATTGGAATTGGGTTCTAGTTTGGGCTTGGGGTCGACTTTCGAGTCCCGAGTTGGGGTTACGAGTCTTGTTTCAGGTCGCGGTGAAAAGTTGGGAGTCTAGTCCTAAGTTATGGTTGTGGTTGAGGTTAGGGTCGGGAGTTAGGCCTCGGGTCACGTGGTGAGGTTGCAAGAGAGTTATAAATTTGTTTTATTACTTTATGTAGGAAAATCATTTTCCTTAAATTGGAAGAATATTAGTTTATTTGAAAAATATTTTTCCGAATTTTTAAGTCATCCAAACCAGAGAAAATTGGAAATTCTTTCCATCCAAACATTCCCTAAAATTTAAGGTTCAAATGCTCATGGATCACGACTAATCATCATGGATGTCTGCTGTCTTAAAAATATAGTTGCTTCTTAGAGTTTCCAAATAATTTTGGGGCCAAAAGAGTCCTTAGTTTATATGTTTTAAGTTTTTTTGGAGGGCACATTTATATTACAAACTTCATGAACCTATTAATAAATATTATTTGATGAAAACTCTTATTCCTATAATAAAAATAGTTCTTCTTTTCTTGGAAAAAAATACAATTTACATTGAGAGACATTGGTCAAACGGTGAAATCACCGATTCAAGTACAGAATAACAATGTTTTTGAATGTTGCTTGTTGTTTGACTTAGAGGGTGTTTGGATCGACTTAAAAATTGGTCAAACATACTTTTAAGTCAGTTTTTGACTTCTAAACTGTTTTCACAAATATAAAAATAACTTAAAATAAGTCAAAAAATGACTTAAATAAGTTAGGAAGTGTTTGACAATGTTAAAAATAACTTAAAATAAGTTTAAAATGATTTAAAATAATTAGTTAAAAATCAAAAGTAGGTCTCCCCTAGTTTTTTATTTTTTAACTTAAAAGTAATTTAAGCTTGACTTTTTATTTTTGACTTAAAAACTATTTTTTAAAGTCAATCCAAACGGGCTCTTAGTCAAATCCCAAAGATAAAATTATTATTTATAGGCTCCAACTATTTTCAAGAAATATCTCGACATAACTATAAGCCAAACAAAATTTAATTTTGGATCGCTAATATCATGATCATCAATATTCTAATAATTTGATGATATTTCAATTCGAATAGTTGAATGATATTATTAAGTTTATTCTAACAATCGCAACACTCACCATTTAAAACAAACTATTATAATTATTGTGATATTTTTCGGTATCGGTTATTTTCTCGACACAATCACATGAAACATCCCAAAAATATAAGCTCTCATCATCATCAATACTAATTAAATTCATATCACAAAATGCAATACTAAAATTTTTCAACCATACATCATGTTTAATAAAAATGAATGACAAAGGCTATTACAAACCAATATCATAAAAAAAAAAATTAATCAATCCAAGCATTTTTCTCATGCCTAGCTAATTAAAAAAACTTAATGTCTACCCTTGTTACCCTTTGGCTTATCACAAGGCAATCCCTCTTTATCTCCTTTGCAAATTTGTGCAAAAAGATTATTTGGATAACCTCCTTGTTTATTCAAGACGTAAAATAAGTCAGTTGAGCACCCGTTATCGACATTATTAATAAGTTCCGCGTACTTGCAAGCTATCTGCGTGAATCCGTTACAACACACAAGTGGGTTGTAATAAGGTCCTTTGCATGTTCCGATGAGAGGTGACAAGTCTTCCTTTTCGAATTCAACGGGGCAATCGTTCTTCACATAGAACTTTTCAAGAAGGCCACGACCTCCTAGCATGTGAGCATTTAGTGCATCATCTGCATGCATACGAAGAAGTCAAAGAGAGGTTACATAAAATAGAATGTTGAATTATGCCATAAATAATGTAATTTTATGTTTAAGGGAGGTTTAGATGAATCTCATCGATCGGTCTTACCTTATGTGAACCTAGTAACTTCTATTGATCAAATAATGTATTTGTCATAAGAATTCATAAAATATTTATAGATAATTAATTGTGAATTTAGTTATTATTTTATGTTAATATATAAACTTTAAAATCTGAACCCGTTTCTGATGGAGTCTAGTGGGAAATAACACAAAAAAAAGGAATATTGAACGAAATAATAATGGAGGATCACTGTTAGTTGTGGACTATGATGGAGTAGTAAGTACCCTCTCTATCCTTAATCAAAGTCTTGAATCTGAACCTATGAAATGGAGTCCCTCTAGTAGGGATCGAAGAGTGTTACCCTAAAGTGAGACTCCCAAAGGCTTAAATCTAAATTAATCAGCCTCATAATGGATATGACATCGAGAACAAGAGCATAAATAAAATAAAATGAGAGGAATAATTACATGAGATGTGGTTTGGGGAAGAGGATGCCAATCCAATTGCAAGGAAGAAGAAAAATAAGAAGAAGCATGATCTTTCAAATGCCATTGTAGCTTTTCTTCTTCTTATTTTCTTCTTCTTATTTTGATACACTTTTTTTTCTTTTGAATATTTTCACAATTTTTCTTCTTTATTTATTAGGCAGAGAAAGACAGAAAGACTTGGAGAAAGAAAGGCTGAAAATGAACTAGTTTTTTTGTCCATTGATTTGTTCCTTATTATAGGCCCTTAATTTCTCTAGTTTCAACTAATCCAAACACTATTTCCCCAAATTATATAAATTTCTTAAAGTTATTTTCTATAACCTAAATCAAACATAAAATCTATCATGGTAATTCATGCAAATCTCTTTTACCAAATATCTAAAAGTATGGTAGTATTTCCCCAAACGACCCTTAATGCAATCTAAGGATAAAAGGGCAAGTTACATATTTGTAGTTATACTAGATAAAAAGGTGTTCGTGCCAGTACAGACCCAATATATGTCATTCATTCCATCCCAATTTATGTGATACAAATAAAATTTAGAAAATCAATCAAATTTTTAATGTCTTTTAAATATTTAAATTGTTTTTATAGTACTTTTTACATATTTTTCACGTAATATATGTAACTCCACATGTTTCAATTCAAGTGATACAAAAGAAATTTTGAGAGAGTCAATCAATTTTTTTATAAATATTTTAAGCAACTAATTATTGTGATTTATAATTTTTTTAAAATATAATATATATATATATATATATAATTGGAAAAAATAATAACACCTTGAAAAATGTTTTTTATGATACTATAGTAATTAGATCTAATAGTAATACCTATCTTACATTTTTAAAATATTAAAATTTGTAATAAAAATCAACATAACTGATTTCATAAGCGGTAAATATATTTAATTAATTTAATTACAAAATTACAATTAGTGATATTACTTATTATACTTATTATACATAGTTATTATTTCTTGAACGATTTGTTGTTCCTTTATTATTAGTTTAAAACTTGATTAGTTGTAACTTTTTTAAATCAATGTAAAAAAAAATACCTTAACTATTTAATTTGATTAGTTGCAGCTCAATTTAACTACTGATACATTTGAAAGCCAAGAAAAAGTACAAATCCATCACTTAAAAATAAAGGGCCCACTTTTGTGAAAGAGTTGCTAGTTAAGTGTGTGCCATAGAAATACTAAGCAGAAGCATACTTTCAGGCTTCAGTTTCAGCCATTACAAAATTAATTATAGATAAAAAAA